CTAATCTAGCCTTTGCCTGAGGCTATCCAGCAAATGCCTCTGTGCAGGGCTTGGGCAGGGCGGGTCCCAGGGGATCAACAGGGCGGGCAGAGCGAGCAGTTATGGCTGCTCTCAGTCCCATCCCCAGAGGCTCTGCCTCTGTGTCCAAGCAACCGCTGCAAGTACCTCGGTGAGAAAGCTGCCCTCGAGCTCCGACAGATGCCAGACAGTCCCGCTTCTCCCGTTTGAGTCTGGGTCCCCAGAGACTCGCCTGGAACTGGAGCCCAGAGCCTGAGACTCCCTCCCGATTGAAAAAGACAACCACGCCCTCAGCCGCCAGCCCGCTCCACACCTTAGTATTTTACTTCCGCACTGCGCCTCCTCTGAGTCTCGGTATGCTTTTCTCTTTCCTTCTAGTTGTAGAATTTCCCCTCAGCCAGCCTTCCTGTGGTTCTGGGTGATGTCCATTCCGTCTTTTAGTTGTATTTTTGAAGTGGTTGTGCGAGGCAGCAATCTCCGGTGTTTACCTATGCCGCCATCTTGGTTTCTCCCAGAATTGTTTTATATGTACCTCCCATTCTACCACAAAAGATATTAAAAGATGTGTATTCAAAGGTCAAAATTTAATAAAATTATTAATTTTTATTGCTTCAAAGACATTCTTGAGTGACACTGGCTATTTCTTTTTTCTGCCAGTGCCTGGTCATGAAGAATATAATGACTAATAGTGCAATTTGATGCCATTGCCTTGGTTCAAATTTATGCCATTGCCTTGCTAAAGCACCAGCAATTTTACCTACACTGCTTTTGTACCATCAGTGCAAATGTTCATTCAGTGGGCAAGAAGGCAAATTGATTATTTCAGTATTATGATAAACTATATTACTAATATATTATGTCAATATTGTGATGAAAGTAGTTTTTACTTTGCAGAGCTCTTGAAAGGGGCCTAGAGACACCCAGAGCTCTCAAGACCACATTTTGAGAACTGCTGTTCTAATTCATTCTGACCAGTATTTAATAACCATGAAAAAAGGAGTCTTTTAAAATCCAAGAATTAGTAAGATCAAGTGGGATTATCCCTAAAAAGTATTTATAAATTACATGATACATTTTATTGTACAATTTTAGTCATCAAAAAGATCAATAATTCCTGTAATAAAATGCAGAAATAAAACAATTTTATTAAATGACATATCTTATTATTTTTCTAAGTATACTTAAGGACTCTTAATATTCTTCTGAATAATCACTTATGATTGATTGTTCACACAAAAAATAACTCATTATTTATTTCTACTTAGCTGATAAAAAAACATATCTAATTCTAATATTTTAACATCTATAATTATCATTAGCCAATCACCTACCTGAACATTTAGAAATTATCTGATGTTGAACCAAGTTCAAATCTTCATCTGACCCTTCTTTAGCCAGTTTTATATTATTCTCAGAGTAATATTCTCCTTTATCATCCTTATTGTTTCTACTTCCCTCTGTATTACTGCTTTCTGAGTGGCTCTCTTTATCAGAGTTCAACTTGATTGCAGTATCAATCTAAAAATTATTTCCAAGGAAACATTTTTCAAAAATAATATATTGTTTTAAACTTTGAGTTTCTAAACTATTTTAGATAATGGAAGTGTATGTGGGGACACACATACACTAGTATTAAAGTATTCTAGGAATATAACACTTCTTAATTAAATGTAATTTAACTACACAATTAAATTTAATAACAATCTGGACCAAAGAAATATGCACCATTCTCTAGCAATTTCTAGCAATAACGGAGAAAAGTCAGGAATCAGTCCGGAAGAGAACTGCTCTCTGTCAGGTTCTGGGAACGAGGCATGCTGGTCCCTGCTCCCTGAGCTTATACTCAGCGGACAAATTAAAGGTCTAGAGCTGTGCTGTCCAATCCTATATAATAAAGAGCTAATATGCAAATGGTCATCACGCCTAACAGCTCAGACACTCAACATTGGGGAGAGAGGAATGGGGATCAGCCAGGCAGCGGCCCAGGAGAGGGACAAGCCACACGCCCTGCAGTCCCGGGCACCAGTGCCTGTGGCTGCAGCCTGGGAGAGGGACAAGCCACCTGCCTCGCAGTCCCAGGTGCCTACGGCTGTGGCCCAGGCAAAGCCATCCGCCCACGGTCCCCTGTGGCTGCGGCCAGCCCGGACAAAGCCAGCCTGGGTCCTGGGTGCCTGTGGCCGGCCAGAGGGAGGGAAGCCTGGGTCCCTGGTGCCTGTGACCAGCTGGAAGAGGGAATCCTGAGTCCCAGGTGCGTGGCGAGGCAGAGGCGGTTAGGGGCGATCAGGCCAGCAGGGGAACAGTTAGGCGCTATCAGGCAGGCAGGCAGAGGTGGTTAGGGGCAATCAGGCAGGCAGACAGAGGGGTTAGGGGTGATCAGGCAGGCAGGTGAACGGTTAGGAGCCAGCGGTCCTGGATTGCGAGAGGCAGTCAGACATCCCCCGAGGGGTCCCAGTTTGGAGAGGGTGCAGGCCGGACTGAGGGAACCCCCCCGCATGCACGAATTTCGTGCACCGGGCCTCTAGTATAATATAATAGCCACATGTGGCTATTGAACAGCTGAAAAGTAAACAGGCTGAATTGAAATGTACTTTTAATGAAATTCAAGTCAGAACCATGTGCTTTGGTGATTATTTTTATGCTATTCACAGTTTTTCTATTTCATTATGGTTTCTCTTTCCATTTTAGCGACATTCACTTTGAAAACACCACTTTGGTGCAGCTGTGTTTTCCTGAGAGAACAAAAAAAGACATCCATGGCTGAGTCAGGAGAAAACAGGGGTCACAGGGCACATGGCAGGGAGAGTCATAGTGGAAATGAACTCACCCCAAGGGAGGGTCACAACCTCGGAAAGAGAGCCAGCCACTTTTTTTTTAAAATCTTCACCTGAAGGCATGCTTAGGCATATGAAGGACATGCTTACAGACAGGAAGGACATGCTTACAGGGAGGAAGGAGAGAGAGCGACATCGATGTGAGAAACATAGATCAGCATGCTCCCTGACCGGGATCAAACCCACAACCCAGGCATGTGTCCTGACTGGGAATCTAACCAGCAACCCTTAGGTGCACCAGAGGACACTCAACCAACTGAGCCACTTCGGGGGCTGGGCAAGAGCACCAGCCACTTCTGAGAGGAGTACCTTTTCCCTCCCAATGGAAGGATTGTCTGCTCCAGTCCTTCAGGGCTCAGTCCTTGGAGGGTTTTATGCTCTCTCTACACCCATGTGATCAATCTCTCCTACTGTAATCTGTGCTCCTTGAGAAGCTCCAAGGCAGAAGGTTGGTGTTGGTGAGAATTAAACTGCCAGGGATACAGGAGCATCTCTGTTCACCTGAACTGGTACATAAATCCCAGCAGAACTGAGCTGAGTCAGTGGTATAATGATTATAGCCACCATTAATTGGTGAATTACTATTAGCTATGTCCTGTGCTAAGTACTGTACACACACTGCCTCCTTCGCTCCATACAATGATACTATGGTGAAGGCACTGCTACCTGATTTAACAGAAAACGAATCTGGTATAGAATGAAACTAGTGGAGACCCAATTTATAAACAAAACAATGCCTACTTTATGTAATCTCAGAGGTGTTAAAGAGGGTTCCCTTTCAAAAACATACTTCTGTCAAAGGCTAGGTAAAACCTGAAATTCCCTAATATCCAGTAAATCCTTAAGGATTTTCTGTGAAAATGCTGAAATTGCTGGGAAAGGTCCCATGGGCCTTGTCAGTCATTTATATTATGGTATTAATGAATTTAGCTGACCTTACCCTGAGAATGGGTTTTTATAGAGAGGAATATAGAATATACAAAAGATAACTAGATAATAGCAATATACTGAGATAACACACTTTAGTACATATAAAGACCTTTCACATGTATCATCACATATGATCCTCTTAGAATGAGCAGGAAATAATAAGGCAAAAAGATGAAACTGGAGAACAAAAGGCTAACTTTGTTCACTTCACAATTTTACCCATAGCTCCCCATCCATCTTCCCCAGCCCATTCATTGCCCGATAGTCTTTCTGTTCCTGACCCTCCTGCTCTTCTACCCTGTGGCCTATGTGCATGATTTTCCTTTCTTCTTCATTCTCAAAGCCACATTCCAGCTCCAATTTTCATTTCTCCATGTCCCCCACCTCATACCTGCATGTTAGTCCCAGGAAAAGTAAATACCCTATAAAAACCTTTCCTAACAATTAGATTCCCTACCTGAAAGATATGGGATTTTTACGAAAAATATTCATAAGCAAAAATAAACCAAAAATTTTAGAATGAGAAATCTATTATTACTAAAGAAATTTCATTAAAAATATAGCATTTTAAATTCATTTTCTGCCATACAAAAAATTTTGGCAACATATCAATAAATGCCAAATTTGAACAATAAAACTAATAAAAACTCCAGGATTTATTATTCAGACAAAATATAAGGTTTCATAGACATTGAATCATTTGCAATCAGCAGTCAACATGTAATATACCTGTGGCTTCCTTCCCCAATCTAAAATGGACCTTACTTATTATCCAGGAACTTGATTAACACAAATCACAATTTTTTAGGAGGCTTTCCTTTTGATAATAAATATTCTAGAGTTAACTGTAGCTTATTGGGTTCAAATAAAATCTTACTTGAAGTGACCACTAATATTTTTCTTTTAAATAAGTCTTGAACAAAGTAATATTAATCTATGTACTAAAACCTGTGTGTCAGTATTTGTGAAGTTGCTGCGTTACCAAAAAAAAAAATCACCCAGGAATATATAAGCAGAAATACTAATTCTATGCTACTCTAAATTTTATCAGGTTTTTGTATATTACCCTACCTATACAGAGAGGGAAAATCATTCTAAATTTATTGAACACATATTTTATGAATACTTACTATGTGCCACACTAAATGCTGAATGCTATGAATAACACAGAAAGGACTGACCAATTGAGTTAAAGAATTGAGACCTGCCCCCAAATGGGTGACTCAGTTGGCTGGAGCATCTCGTACACCAAAAAGGTTGCGGGTTTGATTCCTGGTGGGAGCGCATATGGAAGGCAGCCAATCGATGTTTCTCTCTCACACTGATGCTTCTCTCTCTCCCCTCCCCCTCTCTCTCTCTTCCTCTCTCTCTCTCTTCCTCTCTCTCTCTCTCTCTCTCTCGCTCGCTCGCTCTCTCTCTCTCTCTCCCCTTTCTTCTCTTTCTTCCTCTCTCTCTCCAAAATCAATAGAAACATGTCCTTGGTGAGAACTGAAAAAGGAATTAAAACAATAACTAAGAAGTATTGAATACTTACTAGGTGCTAGTCACTGTTCTAAGAACTTTAAATATTATCCTTAAAACATGCCTATGAGGTTTGAACAAATGAGAAAACTGGCACAGAGAGTCAAAGTAATTTTCCCAAAATCACATAAAATGTGGTCAGCAGAACCCAATTTGAACCCATAACTACAGCTTTAAAAAAAAAAAAAAAGAGGAGGAGGAAGAGGAAAGAGATAAAGAAGGCAACAGTATCCTATATAATAAAAGCCTAATATGCTAAGTGTTGGGTCGTCTGGTCGGCTGTTCAACCAAAGCGTAATATGCTAATGATATGCTAAGGCCACTCAACCACTTGCTATAATGTGCACTGACCACCAGGGGGCAGATGCTCTGACTGGTAGGTTAGCTTGCTGCTGGGGTCCAGCCAATCTGGACTGAGCAAGATGGGCCAAACATGCCCTGGAGCCCTCCTATGGTCCCTCCCTGGCTGGCCAAACTCCCGTGTCCCTCCTTGGCCCCGACCATGCACCAGTGGGGTCCCTCGGCCTGGCCAGCGCCCTCTTGCAATCTGGGACCCCTCAGGAGATGTCAGAGAGCCGGTTTCAGCCTGATCCCGCAGGCCAGGCCAAGGGACCCCACTGGTGCACAAATTCATGTACTAGGCCTCTAGTTTCATATAAAATGACCTAAAGTAAAGTCCAAGAAATCTGTGTGCTCCCAGCACACCCAAAAGAACTACCTTAAAATGGGATGTTAGCAACAATTTTTATTTATCAGAGTTTAAATCATTTCTAAACAGCAAAGTACCTTTAAGGACACTGGCTCTGGTGAGAGCACCTCCAAAGAAGTATTTGAACACCTGCTCTCAGGACGTGTTCTTGAATTGGAGGCTGGTTTTGAAATCCCATCTAAGTTCCCCTTTATAATATCCATTGATATCCTGAAACAAAAATTTTAAAGCAAGTTATGATGTGTAGTGTTAATATGCAATTCATGGCTTTGTTATAAGAATTATGTTGCTACCAAAGTCACACTACCCTAATTTCATGAAAGATGTCTGTGTCTGTGGATCATTAGATTTTATTTCACTGTAGGTGGAAAACGCTGCCTCAGATGTTAGATTCTGAAAGTGGCTAAAAAAGAATGCAGAGGTGAATGCCATCTTGATGGCTTCCTGTACTCTGAGAGATAATTACTGTGTCCTTGAACTGAGAATACACTCATGAAGCACCACACCTCTCAGCCAAGAGTCATGCTTTGTCGTAATGATTGGCTAAGGCCTCTACTTTCTTCTGGTTTTGCCTGCCTTATCCCAGTCTTCCCTCTCAGCCTTATCTTCCCTCTCAGCTCTGATTTCTCCTCTCCTCCTTGGTGCTGTATTTTCATGGAGTACCTACCTCCAGGTCACTGCTCTTTATCTATCAACCCTCCCCTTCTAAAACCCATGACACTACTTCTGCCCTCTGAGTCAACAGAGAACAAAACCTACTTCTTCAAGTAGGGGGACAAACTTTCATTATCTGGCTATACATCACCAGTCTCTTGAACTATTTTTCTTGTGTCACCACCCACAGGCCTCTCACCACTCTGGCTGCTCTCTTCCCAGTGCTGCTTTCTGAAGCAGGAACTATGAGGCAGGGTGGTTTAAACGAGTGGGAGGACTCGGGTACTGCTTGCACACTGACCCTGTGCCGTTATTCAGGACCAGCCCAGATTTGGTCAGGAATGTGAGGATGTCATGCATACGGAATAAAATGAAAGGAATAGGGAGAGTTCCAGTTTTGCCTTCTCCATACTTAGCTTTATATGTGAATTGAAATCTTCCAACAAATCCTTTCCTAAATTCCTATCAATTATGAATTAAACCACTTCTCTCATAAAAGAATGAAGAAAAGCAATTGCATCTGGCTCAGCAAGTGTTAACAAAGTCCTTTCCTTGTCCTACAAAATGACTCGTCATTCTCTGTTGTTTAAACAGCACAGGCAGAGTCCAGGGAAGTTCTGGACACAGGCAGAAGCACAAACATAAACAACCTGATGCTTCTCCAAGGCACACAGAGGGATAACATGATTTAGCCCCCAACCATTCAGTGTGCCAAAGCTGGTGCTTAAGGAACCAGTAGGTCAAGTCTTTCCATCTCAGCAAATGAAAAGGGTATTGGTCTCAATGTTATTCAACTCTGCAAAAGGGTTTTGGCTCGCTCAGGAAGGCACTGACATTATTATTGTGGGATGACGGATTACCCTGGCCAGTCATGTCACAATCAAAAAGCATAAGGCACTGGAAGGTCAAATGTCTTGTAAATGCCCTAAGCAGCTTGTCAGGGAGACTTATGGCAGCTTATAGAAGGAGCAGTGAGATGGAAGCATGTGCAGAGCTAGAATAATACATGTCAGTGAAGGGTGAGGCCCAGGGAGCCGTCAGTGACATGGATCAGTTATAAAACTCCAGAAATCTTTCAATTTGCTTTAGAAATAGGTCTGTTCTATTATTTTTGCTCCTGAAAATAATAAATTATATAAAGTACACTTCCCAGGGTGAGTGGGAATGTAACTGGCAATCTTTGAATTTGGCCATATAGAAAAAAAGTATGGACAAAGGGCATTGAATTAGGATCTCACAGATGTATTTGAGTGTTTGAGAATAAACCTCAATAGCTACATAGAAATTCCACAAGAAAAATAAAGCACTGTACAAAAAAGAAAGCAATTAAATGACAAAATTGGGGAGTAACTGGAACTTTCATATTTGATTGTGAGAATTCAAAACAGGACAACCATGTTATAGAACTGCTTGGCATTTTCTTATAACGCTAAACATAGGCTTACCATATGATTCCACAATCTCATTTCTAGATGTTTACCCAAGAAATATGTTTCACACACAAAAATGTACATGAATGTTTATAACAGCTTCATTAATTGCCCAAACTGGAAACAATCCAAATGTTGCTCAACTGCCCTAGCCGGTTACTCAGTGGTTAGAGCGTTGGCCAGAGGACTGAAGGGTCTCAGGTTCGATTCCAGTCAAAGGCACGTACCCCAGCTGCAGGGTTGCAGGCTCAGGCCTGGCCCAGGCTGGGGACATATGCGGATGTAACTTTCTCACAAAGATGTTTCTCTCTCTGTGTGTCTTCCCACTCCCTTCTTCTCTAAAAATCAATGGAAAAAATATCCTCCGATGAGGATTAACAAATGTCACTCAATGAGGGAACAGATAAGCAAACTGTGGTACATCCATCCAAATGAATACTACCCAACAATATCAGGGGACAAACAACTGATACAAAACATGGAGGAATTTCAGCTGCATTGCATTAAATTGAAAGAAGCCAGGTTCAAGAGACTCCATAATGTTTGCCCAATTATAGGACCTTCTGGAATACACAAAACTTTAGGGGAAATGGTTGCCAGGCCTGGGAAGGGGAAGGTTTAACTACCAAAGGTACCAGGGGACTTGGGGGGAAATTGTTCTGTATCTTGATTGTTGTGGCAATTGTGTTTGTCAAACCTCATTGGACTGCACATTAAAAGGGTGATTTTTATCGTATATAAAGTATACCTCAATTTTAAGTTAACCTCTTACAAATTTTTGTCTTGTTATATTTATATATCCCGAAGATCAATGAGAATTGCTTAGTCAAAGAACATTTGCGTTTCAAATTTTGGTAGTCGGCCAAATTGTTCTCCAAAAACACTGTACCAAACCACTACTGCCACCAAGTTATGATGAGATGGAAGTCTGTTTCCCCACATCGGACTGGGGTCAATGGTTAACGTCAAAGCTTTTCCATCTTTGTCAATCTGTAAGTGCCCAAAGATATGTGGAGTTTGACTGACTTTGCTTGAATTACGAGAGAGGTTGAGCCTCTAGTTAAATGTTCGCTGGCCACCTTTTTTTATTTTTCCGTTGAAATGCCGATTTGCATTCTTGGTCACTTATGGTCTATTTTAAGTGGCTGATGATTGATTTTAATATAAATTCTAGGCTGTTGGTCAGACTCCCAGGCACGCCCTCCCCGCCTCCGCCCTCCCCCAGGCCCGGCCCCTCTCAAGCTCCGCGTGGGCTGGTGGCGGGGCGACCGAGCCGGCTCCTCACCTGCCCGAGGAGACTCTGGGAACTAGTCGCTCAGAGGCACGCCACGGACGCTCGCAGCGTCACCCACTGTCCCCCCAAAACAAGGAGGTCCTTCCTGTCACCACAGTTCACTACTCTGAAGCTGAGAGGTGTGGCGGGTCCAAAGCCCTCCTGCTTCAGAGAACGCTGTTCCCCTGGCAACCGAGTCACGCCGCGCCCAGTCTCGCGATAACAGGAAAGGGCCGTACCACCCAGCCTTGAGACGTGGGGGCGGGACAGCGAGGAGCTGGGCAGCTCCATTGGCTCGTTCGTGTTTCCGGAGCACAGCGTGGGTGGGGAATGGTTTGTCCGTATTGAGGCTGCACTCGGAACGGGGATATCTGGGGGCTAGTATGGCTCCGGCCCTGGCTAGCCATATGGTGCCGGCCCTGCAGGTCCGTCACCCTCCCTGAGCTCGTTGCCTCCTCTGTAAAATGGGGATAACTCCAAAAGATCATGTGTGTGAAGTTCTTGGTAAAGTTTGGGTGCCGTATAAATGAAACATTAGTAATTGCACAAATAGGGCTACAGCCCAAAAAGGGTAAAAGTGATATTTGTGGTTTCTGTCATTGTCAGTGCATGAAGATTCTTTCGTTTAGTCCACAAACTGATTTTCTTCATCCCCGGTACCATGAAATACCTGCTTTTTTCCCAGTCTGAGCAGCACTTTACAGTTTACAAGGGATTTTCACATACTTGGCCCCGTTGTTTTAGGTGGGTAGGATGTGGATTCTTCAAGTGGTTTTCAGCAGAGTAAATAGACAAAGGTTAAGTGAGTTCGTCAAAAACCACAACTACGTTCGAGGGCAGTGCTGGCTGTAAATGCCGCCCATGTGCTGCTAACCCTGCATTTCTACCGCCAGCCCAGGCTGCTCCCCTGAACTCCACGCTGTTGTATCTGACTGTGACCTGGCAACTTAGACATCTCCACTTAGGTGTCAGAAGCATCTCAAACTTCACATCAAAATCAGTCTTCACATCCCCTCCACCACCACCACCACCACCCCCCTCTTAATCCATCTCCGTAAATGGTAACTCTGTCCTGCCAGACTCAGACCAAGAACCTTGACGTCATCCTCAATTTCTTTTCCTCTCACATTCTACAATCAAGTTATCGACCTGTCATCTCTACACTCAATATATATCCAGAATCCAACCACTTCTCGCTGCCTTCCGTGCTCCAGTGAGGTACATCCGGCCACCGTCTCTCATTCAGAGTAGTTAACTGTGGTGACAGGAAGGACCTTCTTGTTTTTTGGGGGGGGGGGGGGGGGGGGGGG